TTTTCAATACGATTTTGGACTATTGCGGAAAATAAGCTCCATGACAAACAGATGTTTATGATGCTTACAAGTTTTGCTAAGCAAGATAACTCCAAGTAGACGTTCAAGCCAAATTTGAAGAAATTCTCTCAAGGTGCTCAAGAGTTATGATGTCCTCAAGAATGAAACAGACACAAGGTCACAGTGACCTTTTTGACCACCAAAATGTAATGTCGGTTCATCTTTGACTAAAAGTGGACATTTGTGCCAAATTTGTGTGTTTGTTCTTCTATTGCCTTTATGGGAATAAGATGCACACATGGTCAAAGTGACCTTGACCTTGGACCACTAAATTAAAATCAGTTCATTGTTGAGTCCAGATTAACGTTTGTGCCATATTTGAATAAATTCCCTTAAGGTGTTCTTGAGGTATTGTGTTTACAAACGAACACTACTTTCATGATTTTTTTGAAGCCTAAATGCAATCACCAGAACATTAGGCTATGAACAAACTACACCACAGTCACATAACTTAATGCCGCCACCTTGAGGCTGTAAAGCTGTGTTTGGCTGATAATGATGATAATGTTCTGTAGTCTCATTTGGCCTTTTTAAAGTCACATTTACTGACATAATTTATGTCATGGAACAAAACATGAAAGTGTTTTAAGCTTGTGTTAAACACAGGCCTTTTCAAAATTTGTTTACAAGACACCTTGAGAAATACAAAAAAATAAGTTAGAAAATTGTAACACTGGGCTGCAGTGATCACTGAATCCAGCAGCAGTGCACCTCAAAAGATGTTGTGTCTGAGAGGGCCCTAACTGGGAGAGATAAGACAACACGTATGATGATGATGACTGATGATCATCATATTGGTCTGTTTGGGTGCCCCCTTTGGCAGTGGTGTCCTACGTGCATGTGATGTGCTGGTTTTTTCCACTAACTTTATCTCAACATCAATATAAATCTTGAAATAGTACATTTTCTGAAAAGTCACATAAGAAACTGTTAATTCGTAATATATTGAGACAGGAATGTTTGTTTCCACTTAAAGGGAAATTTCTGTTTATTTCAACCTGTCTCCTATCGTCCTAAATTTGTTTCAAGTCACTAATGACATAAAAATAATAGTTAGCATGTTAGCTGTTAGCCTAGATACAGCCGGGGCGCATAGTAGCATCAGACCTGTTAAAACGTAAGTGAACGGGCAACCTTCAAGTGCAAAGTTAGTCCACTAAACAAGCTTTTTTTCCACAAAGACCGCCTCATATTGTTAGGATAAATGTCAGAGAACATATAGAAAACAACATGTAAACGTGTTGTCTTACCTTACCGGTGTGGTGTCATGTTTGTTTACCTTTTAGCTCCGCTTTCCAAAGCACGGCCAAAATAGCACAAGAACAAGCAGCAATCTCATACCTTGCCTGAAATCTCACGAGAACAAGCAGCAACAGATGGAAGGCAGAACCAGACAGTAGCATGAAAAGTTCATTCATTTATTTTATGAAAGATTTATAGAATAATGGCTGACTTTTTGCCAGACTTCGACTTTGTGGAGGAGGAATTTAATTTTGCAGAGTTTGATGGCCGCCCTTATTTATTTGAGCCAGAATACACTGACGAAGAGCTTCGTGAAATTGAAGAACGGAGGAGGAGAGAGAGAGAGGCGCAACAGGTAGAGGATGAGAGAGGCGGAATGGCTGCTGCAAGGCTGCGTAGCTCTGGAGATTGGTGGTGTACCTGTGAATGCTGTGCCCCAGTGCCCACAGAAGAGGAATTCCTCTGTTGCAAGGAATGAGACCGGTTGCAGCCTTATTTTCAAGGTCTGGATGTGACCGAGGACGAGACACCTCCACCTGGAGTAGTATCCAGCTGGGCTTTATCTAGAGCTCGCGAGATATATTTTGGCCGCGCTTTGGAAAGCAGAGCTAAATGGTAAACAAACATGGCACCACACCGGTAAGGTAAGACAACACGTTTACATGTCGTTTTCTATATGTTCTCTGACATTTATCCTAACAATATGAGGCGGTCTTTGTGGAAAAAAAGCTTGTTTAGTGGACTAACTTTGCACTTGAAGGTTGCCCGTTCACTTACGTTTTAACAGGTCTGATGCTACTATGTGCCCCAGCTGTATCTAGGCTAATGGCTAACATGCTAACTATTATTTTTATGTCACTAGTCACTTGAAACAAATTTAGGACGATAGGAGACAGGTTGAAATAAACAGAAATTTCCCTTTAAAAGTTAAATTTACCTGACAGTTTATTCCATCAAGTTATGGAAAGATCATATGAAAATCCAATATTGTTATTAATTGCCTTGTTTATTGATTTGCAGTATTGCCCACAATGGCCTTAAACAACCGAAGATATTAAAGTAACAGATATCACCATATCTAGGGATGAGGGAAAAAATCAATACAGCATAGTATTGCAATATTTTGTGTGGCGCTATTGTATCGATACATGGATGCCAAGTATCAATCTTTTATTAGGTACATTATTCATTTTTGCAAATACACATTTCAATACAACTTTTGGTACTACAGTAATAAAATCAGTTGCTTTTTCGGTCCACTAGATGGTGCTGATGTTTTTTTTTCCTGGTGACGTCAGCAGAGGTCTCAGTCAGTGGCATTTGGGAGGAAGTTCATTGAAACAAGGATGGAGGTTCCCACAGAAAGAAATCAAAAATGCAAACGTCTGGACTTATTTTGGATTTTTTAACGTGAAAGGAAAGCAGGACTTGGATATGACACATGTGATTTGCAAGCAGTGTGATATAAGAATAAAATACTCTCGAAGCTAACACTGAACCCGCTTCACTGAAAAACCAACCAACATTGGGTACACTCAGCTTGACAAAACTACCATCCACCTCTAGGAGAGCTAAGAAAATAACACAGTCCATGACCTACTTTGTGTGCAGAGATCTGAGTCCATACTGCAATGTTGAAAATGACGGCTTTCGTTACATGCTCGGTCCTGACGTTTTTTCACCGACACAGCCGTACCCAAGCTCTACAGAGAAGTGAAGCATTAAGTTGTGTAATCTTTGGGTACAGCAGGAACAGTGGCATTAACTTATGATGCCTGGACTTCAAGGACAGTGGACTCATATGTGACTATAACAGCACATTATCTCACAGAGAACTGGCGACTGCTGTTTCACATTCTCCAAACTAGTAGTACACGAAAATCACACCGCAGCAGACATTGCAGATCTCCTGCAAAATGCAGCACAAGAAGGTAAAAGACAGCGCTTCTAACATGGGTGTTCCCGTTCATTTAGTGGGATACATCACATTTTGCTGCAATAAAAATTATGGAAGTCAGATGAACAGACTGAAAACTTCCCCAAAGTTTTCCTTTGGGGAAATAATTTGCAGTTGGAAAAAAATATAGTAAATCACAACATATCAAAATATAGTTTATCGTAATACTCAGCATATCGTGATGCATTTAATATTGCAATAATATCGTATTGTGACCTAAGTATCGTGATAACATCGTATTATGGGTCCTCTGTTGATTCTCACCCATAACCATATCAACGGTATGATTGTTGAATATTTCCTGCTGTTAAACTATAGAGTAGTCAGCTGGATCACAATTTGATGTTACAACATATTTGGCCAGGAATGCATAGAGAAATATAGGTGCATACTGGAAAAAAGACCAAAGTGTCTGCATAAACCTCACCCTGCAAAGGACAGGCCAGTGTGGTAGGTTTTTTATACTAGGAATATCTCTGCTTATGAAATTCACATAATGTTACAGCAATATTTCTTAATGCCATTATCAGAGTTATTTGTCCCAAGTTCATTCAAAATGGTAATGGTTTATTTGTAAGCTTGGTGAGCATTACCTGGCCTCTCTCGTGATAGTGAGCTGGAACTTTTAAATAACATGGGTACAGAGCGCAATGCTTCAATCTATCAATCCATCAACCAATCAGTTCATTTATTTGTCATCCAATCAGTTCATTTATTTGTCACATGAAATCATAAGATACAAATCCAGTTAAATGTAATCCTGTCAGTTCCTTTAGTTTGTGCATTTAAAAAAGACTGCAATGATGAATATATGTTTATGATTGAGGAGTCTTAGGCAGTGTCCTCATTTAGGATCCTTGTGGCCTGAGGGTAGAAGCTCTTCCTGTGCTGCCGTAGTGTTTATGTATTTATTTACTTCATTATTATGTTTTTAATGTGTTCCTGATACATATCCAGAGACAGAGTGAAATCTGTCATACAGCAGCACAGCTAGCTAATGTTTGGGTAATGACTCACTAAAAACTAGCACCTCTAACATTAGCACACCTGTGACATTTACAGAAGACAGGTTGTCTGTTGTTGCCAGGAGCCAGTGGCGTAAGGTAGTTACAACAGGCCCAAGTGCACATTATTATGACGAGCCCCAGTGCACATTATTGTGCATATGTCTTCTAGTCACTAGATCAGAGACTCGACATTGTATAACATCAACATACATATTACCTAGCAATAATCATTGCATATATAACAAAAAATACCAAAGAAAATAAAAAAAAATAAGAAACAAATAATTCAATTTACCAATTTTAATAGAATGGTTGATTTATAGTCATCGAATATGCATATAATTTTGTTATAGATGCTACTGACTGTTTTACAAATAAAGAAAAATAAACACGACTGAGATGGGATGTCTTTGTCAAGGGCATATAGCAAATGGCACTGCTTTTACTTTAATGAGACTTCTTCTTTGAACACAGGCATATTTTCAAGGCGGCAGTCACTAAGGGCCCATTCTCCACCCAACACATTGATGAAGGGCAACTTTCTCTATGCCCCCCCCCCCCCCCCCCCAGGAACCCAGTGCAGCCGCACTGCCTGTACCGTCTATATTTACGCCCCTGGCAGGAGCTAATACTGGCCATCAGTCACAACGTGTTGCTAATGAACCGAGCCAAGCTAGTTATACAGATACAGAACTGTCTGTCTGCATAATCCCCAGTCCTTCCCTGCCTCTCACCTTGTCTCCTTGACCGAACTGAAGACCGAGGTCCACCAAGTGCTCCACCCGGATGAAGCCGTCAGCATCCTCGTCACACACGTCGAAAACCTCCTTGAGCCTCCTCAGAAATTGTATGAGCTGCTCTTGATCGGGAAAAACGTGTCCTTCCATTATAGAGCTGGCTTCGTCGGCAGAGAAAGGTTTTTTCCTGTTAAAGAATGGCTTTGACGGTCGCCATCATTACTTCCGTCATCAGCTCCGCCGGACCGACTGCTGCGCAGCATCGCTTGTTCATGAGGCGCGACAAGTTACGGAAAAGGGCGATGATTTACGACTAGGACACGGGGCATTGCGTCACAAACCGGTGCTAATTACAGTCCAACTGTGTTTGCCCATAGTGCGTCTGCTGGAAAGAGATTTCTTTGTTTGACTAGGGGGAAAATTCACGGTGCGCTTTCGATTTTTGTCAAAAAGCCATGAAAACAAACTTCTCCATTTGGATGTGTTACCAGTCTCCGAAATAACACTGTGCAGCTGCTTCCACCTGAGATGCTCTTTCAGCAGTTTATTGAAGCTATCTTTCCTCTCCAGCTACACTAAAAACCATCTGATCACATAAACCTGTGAAACTGACCATTTCCTCCAAAATAAAAAAGACAATACATGATGACAATAATACAAATACTTATGGTATGTTACGAGTAATCTGGGTTATCTAGGTTAATACGTAATCTGCGCCTGCAGAACTTCCCAGATGTGCCACACATTTTAGGAAAATACACTGCTCAAAAAAATTAAGGGAACACTTAATCGTCAGAGTATAACACCAAGTAAGTTAAATTTCAGGGATATAAATCTGTGCATTTAAAAAGCACAAGTGATTGTGAATCAGTTTCATCTGCTTTGGTACAAATGAAGGAGCAATGGAGAGGCAAAAGTAAGACAACCCCCCAAAAAGGAATGGTTTTGCATGTGGTGTCCACAGACAGTCGCTCTCTCCTTATCCTTCCTGACCGATTCTTCTCTAGTTTTGTTTTCTGCTAGTGTCCTTGTCACTACTGGTAGCATGTGGCAGTACCTGCAGCCCAATCAGGTTGCACAGGTAGTCCAGCTCCTCCAGGATGGCACATCCAAACATGCAGTCACAAGAAGGTTTGTTGTGTCTCCCAGCACAGTGTCAGCAGCATGGAGGAGATGCCAGGACTCCATCTCTGTCACTGTCTGTGTAACACATGATTATCACACTGTGTGTGATAATCATGCGTTGTATTCAGTTAGCATTAACACCAAATTAACACCAAAGTTAGTGGTGTAGTAAGAAGAAATGTCAAAAATAAGACTTACTGTTAATAGCAAATTTTTGTTCTCTCTGCTCCATATTAAACTTTGCATTTTAATGGCCACGTGTCCCACATTTTGTTGAATGATTTCTTCAACAAATGTTTACATTTTTTCTTGACATATTCATGATTAAATCAAGTAGTTCTTTTAGCCTGCTTGAGGTAATTTTAGGTTTAAATGTATTGTGTGAGGTTATTTTTGTTCAAAAACAATTGTTACCATAAATGAATAGTGTCTATGATATTATCAGCAAAAAAAAAAACAATCTGCAGAATTCTGCAGATTTTCATTTAGGATCACCGTTGAGAACAATTTAAAAATTCTGCAGATTCTGTTTGGGCCTCGTTATGAGGTAGTAATTAAAATTTATGATTTAAAGTGACAGCATGTAGCCTACTGAGAGAAGAAATTCTTCTTCTTATAAATGAAAAGTTTGATTCAAAAGCCATTAAGCACAAATTTGATCAATTCTATGCCACTTCAGCCTTACTTGGTTTGGTATGACCAGGAGTGCCCCCAGAAATTTCATCGATGTGACCAAATGGGGCCACTGAAAATCATGGGGTGACACACCAAAACCAAAAGCTACAGCTGAATTTCAGGAATTCAGTTATGCTGTTGAAGTTTAGAGGCTAGAAACTGAAAACTATATACTCTCAGTATGAGAGTTAAGGAATCACACACTGATAGATATAGCCTAGTACTTTGATTTCTTATTTTACAGTTAATATTATTAATTATCTGATGTCCATAGACTAAAACTAATACTAGTGAAGTTAATATTATGACAATTAAAACAATTCTGTTTTAATGTTTTATGTATCTATACATCAGGCGATTCATTGTTCTTCAAATAGACTAGTTGTCCTTTTCTTTAAAAAGACAAATACGCAGCTTTAATTTAAATGAGTACATTGATTGTGAGGGACAAAACATTTACTGAGAACAAGCCTTCTCAGGAGACTGGTGGGTACCCAAAGAACCCATTTTCATTTAGATATCTGGAAGTGAGAGTTCAAGGAACCCCTTTGAAAATGGCCATACCAGTTGTTCCCTCGCCAAAATTTAGCCTAAATTTGACATGCGTTTTAGCTCCCTTCCAGACAAGCTATGCCAAATGGTTGCTACCAATGGAGTGGGAACTGGATGTAGGGAAAACCAACATCCGGTTATCTGCAATAGCTTAATTTGTGGGTAGAAACAACGGTGGAGTCAAGAAGCCCTCAGGCATGTGGTGTTCCTTTTTGCTCGGATTAGAACAAGAAACAGCCATATTTGTCCTTCCACAGCTTTTTCAACTGATGAGAATTTAATAAGGAGATGGATTTTGTCTATAAGAAGAGACAAGGGGGTGGGATTTACCATGAAGAGAAACAGTACATCTGTGTGCAATGCACTTCAGGGAGGAAGAGGTTGGAAATACTTGAAACCTCAGGCTGTACTGTCAAGACTTGACCTTTGACCTTTTCACATCACCTTGAAATTTGTCAACAAGACAAACAACATCTGCAATTATAATTTTAAGCAATAAATGAGTGACTGGTAGAAAACACACTGTTCAGGCTCGATAGGAGCAGTTCTAACAGGCACAAGACCATTGCGGCACGCACAAACAGAAGTAGAACGGTTGCCACTTTGTGAAATGGACATATAGATACCTCAGGATGTCTAATTTTCACTATTTACGCCACAGCCTTTTCATGGGGGATGGTTAGGAGGCCAGCAATTGTAATGGTGGCCATCTCTAAGGATGAGTATCGTTAGGATTTTATCAATAATATTATTCTTATCAATACTCCTTATCTAACGTAAAATTGCGCTGAGGTGACTTAAAGCGAACTTCCTGTTTCTGAATTCATCTCTTTACCTTTAGAAACCTAACTTCATATGACATAGAATTAAATGCTCAAACAACTTTGATCCACCATGTCAGTGGCTAGAGGGCGGATGTGGTTGCTGGGAAGGAAAATAAGAGAATAGGAAGGGTAAAGAAACTCTTGTTGCACTGCTTCCATTCGCGGTGCCCTCTGTGTCAGTGCTATGATCATGTTGCCATCATAAATATTCAATAAAAAAATGATCACAAAAAAAGCTCAAACAATAAATAAGTTATGTTAAAGTGACATAAAAGTGTCATTTGACACATTTATTTTTGTGTCTGGTGTACTCAATACTTTTAGTTTAGTACAATACAGTAACATAAAAGTTTTAAGTGTAAGTGGTTACCAAAAACATTTTACATTAAGTAAGGGAATTATGGTTTACAGTGCAGTATGCACAAATTGTGACACTCTACGTCATAACATCGTGCCTTGAATTTGGACCTTCTTGGTCACATATCTGTTGCAGTCCATAACATGAAATTTGATGTAAAAATAAAAAGCATGCGATTTGCAGCACAGCTGATTTTAACGTTATCACTTAACGTTACCTTGGAGTAAAACAAAACACTATATGCAAAGCTTGCCAGAGATGAAGCTCAAGTCAGAGAGCTATGTATTTTTAACTTATTTAATGACTGCATACATTGTAGATTCTAAGATTAGACTGTATTCACAACACTAAAATTACATAAGCATTTCTCTGTCATTGTTCTTTTCATAGTTATGCCCTTTTATTGTTGTTGGTTATCTTCATGATCGTTTTGTTCACTTAAAGAATTCCTATTTCTATTATTACTGTCTATTCTATCGATCATAAGTCACTTGGCATCCGTCATTACAGCTTCTTTCAGCTGTTAATCAGCTGTCAAGCTGTCATCTACTTGCTCAGTCAATGTGACATATTTTCTGCTGCCCAGAGGACTGGGCATGTGTGTCAGCATGGGTCAAAATATTCAGAGATGTATACCTACTTGAATACAACAAAATGTGATCGGATGTGGTAGGACATCCTGGTATTTCCTGGCTGTGGCTCAGAAGTAGAGCGGGTTGTCCACCAATCAGAAGATCAGCGTTCAATCCCCAGCTCCTCCAGTTTGCATGTTGAAGTATCCTTGAGCAAGATACTGAACCCCAAATTGCTCCCGATGATGCTTTCATCGGTGTGTGAGTCTATTAAAAACTGAGTAGCAGATGGCACCTTGTATGGCAGCCTTGGCCACCAGTGTATGAAGAGCTCCTTTTCCACTGCAGGAACTTTTCTGATTTACCTGGGATTTTGAAAAACCTTGGCGTGTTTCCACTGAAATTACCCGGGGGAAAAACTTTCCCTCACCCCCAAACTGTCCCTAAAAAAACAAGTATGTAGTAGGGGGGGTAGGACTTTTCAGATTACCCGGAATTCTTGAGGGGCGGGGCTGTGTGCTGAAGAACGCTGATTGGTGGAACACACACTTGCAGCGTTACGCACTTCCGTGTCAGTGTGGCTGCAACTTTATTTAATTTCTACAAGCTTCACTTCGTTTGTGTTTTCAATTAAGGATGGGTACTGAAACCCGGTACTAAATTAGCCCTGGGGCTAAATTATCAAAGACAATAGTATTGATAAGCGCTTACAGTATCGGTTCTTTTGTGCCGGCGCTGAACTCCTCTACATCCACACGTACACGCACACACCAACATGACACAGTAACTGGTACCGACACTGTCACTAACGTTATGTCTTGCACAAGGACAGCATGCTTGTTCAGCTGATAGCTAATTGTTACTAATAAGCTCAAATGACAGCTGTCTGTATGTAGACTAACTTAGTTTGACACGTATCTTAAAATACTTTTAAACTTAGCTGCTGGCTGAGACAAACAGCCCATACTCTCCCTACCAACGCTAATGTTACCATGTTACAGTACCAGCCAATAAGCTGGCGGAGCTAAATACAGGGCGAACGCCAAATCATCTACGTCATCATCCTGATTTGAATAAATTTTCCAGAACTTTGAGGTGTGGTGGAAACGCAAACCACACAGATTACCAGGAATTCTTTTATCCAGGTAAATAAATTCCTGGTAATGAAAGTTCCTGGAAATGTTGGTGGAAAAGGGGCTAATGTGTGTGTGAATGGGTGAATGTGACTTGAAGTGTAAAAAGCGCTTTGAGTGGTCAAATGACTAGAAAGGCACTATACAAATGCAGCTCCATTTAGTCCATTACAATTTACCATTTATGGCATACTTCATTTGACATAGTGTAAATCTTTTTCTTGCATACTAAATAGTATGGTAATATCAGTATTGTAACAGTATTGTTTCTGAGCGTGCTGCTGATGGTCATTTTTCTCCCACAGTGCGATGTAATTTAAATAAACTGACTATGGTGGTGAGGCAGCTCCAAAAAGATATGAATAAACAAATATTAAATAACTAAGCATTTTGCTCTTATGTTGAATTCTCAGACATTCTGAAGTCGCAGTTTGATTTAGTGTTTGACACCTGCAAGTACTAAATCATTTCCTGCTAGTATAAAACGGCAAATTTGGGGGACAGCAAGGGATATTAATATTTTCATGTTATATGTAGCAAGTCTAATTTTCAATTTACCATCTCATAACTTTGGAATATTAGTATACTTTTGACTTTTCTACATCAAAATTTGACCTACTACTGTATCACCATTTTTTTCTCTTCCTGGCAGAAATGGGTGTTCATGAGAGAAAATTTCTAAACTGGAGTAACACACTTGACATCTATCCTGAATTATTTATTAGAAAAACTGTTTATACAAGACTGAAATCCCACTACATAAAAAACAACAGCATTTCATATCTAACTTCAATTCAAATGCAACAATTATAACATTTGTCAGTGCTTACAACTGCAGTAGCTCTTCTGTGCAAAATGATGACTTATTAAGCACAGAGAAGATAATATATTCAGCGATTATTATGTCCCTTGGCTGTCTTATGCAGTGTACAGTTAACTTAGCGGCAGTTAACGGCACTGGAGCACAAGTTGAAGGATCCTGGAATAAAGTTCACTGAAGAAAAGGTAAATCCATGTTGCCAAGCTACAATATGTGCAAAGTCACTGTTTGGTCCCATTTAAATGATGAGCCTTGGTTCCAGCAGGGAGTCCCACCATTCTGTCACCTGCGGGAGGAAGTAAAGACATTATTTAAACTACGATTATGCTAAGATTACAACAGATTCTGCACAGACATTACAGGAAACAATGACTGGCTAACACCTGCTACTAGGGATGCACAATATTTTTTTGCCAATATCCAATATGCTGATATATAACAACTTATTTGACCAATAATAATTAAAAAAAAATACTGCTATCAACATATCAATTTCTTCCCCACCTAATTTTAGTGATCATCAAGTCTCTTCTGTAGTGGAATTAACATAATATTATGCATGCAGACTCTTAGCGTGATGACCCACCAGCAAATGGAGACATAAAATAGAATGCTTTTCAACGTATGTAATATTCATTCATTGTGCAAAATAAGAAAAGGGATTTTGGCCGATACTAATAGTTCATTTTAAAGCCAATATCAGCTAGGGGTGCACGATAACTATTGGGCTGATAATTATCGGGCTGATAACAGGAAATCATTACGTCATTCCGATAAGTCCGATATCATGACGAATAGCCCCGATAACATATATAATTTTGTCAGCACAGCAGTGCCCCGCTCCCACTATGAGACCTGAATGGCCTGCAGTGAATGCTGCGTTCAGTGACGTCGGCATATTCAGAAAAACTCTTTCTGACTGGGAAAATTCAAGAATACCCCCTCATGTCGGAAAACATCTCTCTCTCTCTCTCTCTCTCTCTCACACACACACACACACACACAGACGCGCACACTCTCTCTCACACTAGTGTTGCAGGGTATACTGGGGTATACTGACCGCGGCACTAAAACTCCAAAGTACATATGATACCATAATGTTGGAGTACTGTAGTACTACGGTACCTCAGGTATCACTACTGTGGGATAAGTTCATAGTCCAATCGCAAAAGGGTGAGTGTCCATGCGCCGTCCAATAATGGCGCGCGCTGGCCAATAACGGCACGCGCTGGCCACCTGGCACTCAATATGCTGCTGCAGTGACATTTCAGGTAGGCCTATTTGTTGAGCTATTGAGTATCTTTGAGCAGTGAAAGTTATTATTAATTTATTTTTACTTTTAGGTTAGATTTGTTTATATATGCTACAGTGATTTGTTTTCCAGAGCTCTACGGTGCGACTAAAAATAGTTCTGTGTGAGCAAAAGAAATCATTCAAGAGCACGCTGTGCCAGTACAGATTTCAACCAGCAGTAGAAACGAAAGGCGAATCCTGCTGGTTGTGGGTTGAACGTCACAGACACAGACAGGAATACGTATTCCTGTCAAATACGGTGGCCATAGTGCTCCGCGGCGCAAGATAACGGTTTACCGGCGACTGAGAAGCCTGGCTCCAGGTCCAATAATCTCCTCTTGTTGGCGTCATGACTGTCCAGAAGTACCTGAACAGCTCAACCGTGGTGGCACACAGGTATGTGACATGTCAGAGGAGAAACAAGCCGTTCACATTTCTCTCTTTGTGGCAGGTAATGGCCCACAAACCTCACCGCACTTTAGGGACTGTTCTTTACTTCTGAAGGGACTGTTCTTTACTTGTCAGGGGAGGAGGGTGGCTGGTTGATTTTTATTTTATTTATTTTATTTTGATCCCCCCTATGTTAATCACTTATTCATGCTGTTTTTGAAATATGAATAAGTCAATAAGTAATTTATTCCATTGAAATATTTATGTATTATAGAAGAGTGATTTATCTTTTTATAAATGACAAAAGACACATCTGCCTATTTTTGGCTGTGGTATCGTGATACTACTCAGAACCATGATACTTTCACTAGTATCCTACCGTGGGTCCCAATTTTGGTACCGTGACAACACTATCTCACACACACACAGACGCTCTCTCTCTCTCTCTCCTCTAATATGAGATAAAAGAACAACTGAACCTCATTTACCTTAGTGAAAAGGTATTCATTTGAATGGAACCATAAGCCAAAATGCTTTAAACTTATTTTTTTGTTACTATGGAATGCACTTTTTCAGTTTGTTTACATAGACAAGTCTAACTTGTTCAGTGCAATCATTTTCTATATATATTTATTTTTTTGAACTTCTGGAATGAACTTTTTCAGTTTGTAATCCCGATGCATGCATTTGCATCAGTTCAAGGGGCCTTTATTTTTATATCAGTAAGTAATGCACCTTATTTAAATTGATGTTCATTTGAGATATCAAATAGTCTTTTGTTTGATATCTTTTCGAAAATGTTTGACATGCTTGCCAATAGTTTTTCATTGGAAAAAGTAAATATCTCTTAATTTAAAGAGTCAAAATGATGTGGTATATATATGTGTGTGTGTGTGTGTGTGTGTGTGTGTGTGTGTGTGTGTGTGTTATCGGTTATCTGTATCAGCCTTTAGGAGCTGAAAGTTATCGGTTATCAGTATCGGTTTAAATGAAAAGTTAGCGTGCATCCCTAATATCAGCCGATACTAATGACGTGCCGATATTATCATGCATCCCTATCTGCTGCTCTCTGTAAATGAAGCCATTTTTGTCAGTCCCACTTTCTCCTTTTTGTATACTGTAAGTAACTGAAAAGAAGGGTTCACTGGGTAAATGCACTAGGGCTGCTTGATTATGGAAAAAATCATAATCACGATTATTTTGGTCAAAATTGAACACAACGATTATGCAAACAATTATCCGGCAGACGTGATGACTTGTATTGTTTACACCACGGCATGTCATTTCTGTCTCTACATGGTCGTGCCTTTACAATCCTCCTCTGCTCTCTGTATCGCACACACCGGAGTTTGGCCCTGACGCGCAAGTGCGCGCACGACCCTCCGCGATCACCTGCCCCTCGCATAACATCTCCAGGCATCGGTGACCAAAAATTGTTTACACTTGATTTCATTAATTTTGAAATCGTTTGACCTCAAAACCGTAATCGCAATCACCAGACGATTAATTGCACAGCCATAAAATGCACCCACTCAAAGTAGAGGGAAGGGGAAAGATGGGGCTTTGACTGCTTTTGCTGACTGCCAGTGTCATTTGGACTGTCTACTGCCAAACAATTCAATCTCAGTGTCCCTGTTGTCATTTCATAAGGCACCCTAGGGAATAAGCCGGTGGTTGGTGACATGTTTACTTGAGCATTTGTTTGAAATAAAGGGTGTGCCCAGTTACCATGTGGTCCATGGAATCATCAGCTTACCTGCAGTAAGATTTAATTCCAGGTGTGAAAAAAAGTCAAAGTGAATTGCTTGGGGATGGTACTGAATACCTTAATGTATACATCCCCCAGGATCTACAGCATTCACACAAATATTGGGTTATTGGCCTGATTCTGTCTGCACTAGCCTATACATGATCACAACCAGTCCCATGCACGGACATTCTTGGGAGCAGGTGCTAAAGCAAAAAAAAGGGAAACTTCTCTCGTGATTATCAATTTAAAAAATGAATGATATACAGTAACAGGTTTTACTTACTTACATATTTATCTTAATACCTGTACAGACAAGGGTGTCATTTTGTTTAAACACTGCATGGGACACATATGAAGTGGGAGGGTCTGGGGGTCCTCCCCAGAAAATTTAGAGCCTCAAACACTTAATTTCCTGCTTTCTGGTTATTTTTTCTGCATCAATTAATGGTGGAAATTATGGTCTTTATTTATGTAAAGGAAAACACAAAATTCAGGTGGCAGGTGACAAATCAAAATAAAATATGACAAAATATACTGCAGTAGCACTTTATACTGCTTTCAAATATTTATTCTCCTGGAGATCGACTTGTCTTTTTTCATGCTGTCTGCTGAGTCAACATACGTGTTTTACTGTGTATAAATGAGGGACCGTGTTCTGCAGTGAGGTTTAAATGGTTCTGAATGTACAGAGTAGAAGTTGCTCTGACACACCGACACACTGAGGATGATTTCTATCTCAAAGTTCTTCAATTAGATATGAAGTTAACAGAGTGCTAAAGAGAAAAGTGGGGGGCTGCTAGGATCATTTACATCAAATTCAGCCTCCTACAAACATGGTTCTTTTCTTCAGGCCTTAAATGCAGGGCATTTTATATTTAGGGGTTCAAGCCCAAAGGGCTGAAACCCTTTTGTTTTTGTGCTGTTTTATAATAAGGGGTTCAAGCCTGAAGGGCTGACACCCTTATTATTATTATTATAATTATTATTATTATTGTTCAGAAATGTTTTCGCAAATTGCCATGAGATGGTACATCGCAGAGACATGACATTTTCACCGATGATTGGAAGCTGTGTGCAAATGCTGATCTAGATATAAAATTGGCAATAGGCCAGATGGGGGCGCCGAAGGCCAGGTGAAGGCCCTATTGAAGCTGAAGGAATTATTATTATTATTATTATTATTAACCCCAATTAAGTGCCTTTTTGGGAGCATTAACATATCCCAAAACTCATGAAATTTTGCAGCTATATCAGACCTGGTGAAAAATTTGATATTTTAAGGGTCACATGCTTGGGTCCCAACTTGGCTTGACTCCACGTGGGCATATCTTGCCAAAACTTCACACATATGATGACAGTCCAGCCCTGAACACATCTACAGAGGAATTTTGAATCACCGCCATAGCACCACCTACTGGCAAAAGAAAGTTACTTTATACATTCTTTGATGTCCCTCTTCTAGCAGGTTAATCAGACCCACCTCAAACTTGCTGATCTTAGACCCTGATGATACTTAAAAATGAAGCTTTTGAGTTTTCATCAAACGCTGTCACCGTGGCGCCGCCTTGTTCGCCATTAAACACGATGTTGTTTTGAAGGGACAAGGGATACTTGAAAACTTACCAAACGTGGCATACACATCACGTCTCAAGTCCTGTTGTCTGATGTGATTTTTGTGCTTTGATGCACCAAGATGGCTCAACAGCGCCCCCTAGAATATTTCAATTAAGCAGCCCCCAAAGCTGGTTTGACCTGCATGTATGAAACTTGGTAGGCACTAGGGCTGTCAACGAATATTCTAAATTCGAATTTGAAAAAAAAATGGACCTTCGAATGTGAAAATTGATATTCGA